TTTGTGTTGAGGTGAGAATAAGTGATGTGTATTGGCGATAGTCGCTGGCGGAAAGAAAATACCTTAATGGCGGAAAGTGTTAAATTTAATTCATTCCTGTTTAACTCTAGCTAGTTTTTTCTGGATAAAAGTTGTTAAATAAAGCTCTTTTATTGTTAACATTTTTGTTATTATTACCCTTTATGGATTATGATCAAATATCATCCCTCGGACGTCTGATTTACGTCCCTAGGACATCCCGAAATAATACTCACATTTAAAAAAAAAAAAATTCTCAAAAATTTGCACGGTAAGGTATAGTTGAAAAATTCACTATTAGATAAATAAAGACTTCAACTAATAAAAAAAAAAATTAATTTTGTTTCATCAAGTATGTATGACCATGTATTTCAACATTAAAATTTGATTTTTCTCGAAAACGGTCGACTTTAGAGCGTATGACCAAGAGTACCTTTTTTATGTAGAAAACATTGGCGGTTCAAATGGGCGTCTAAGAACCGTACTTTTTCCAGTGGCGTAGACCCTTTTTTCAATTTCAACACCGTGCATCTCGAAAATGGTGCATTTTAGAGGGTAAGTTAATAAAAACGTTTTTCCATATTTTTGGACGAGCTATCACGTCCTGAAGTCCTGCGCATATATTAGGAAACCCTATATAACGATTTTTAGCCGTACGTTGTTGCGTGCAGTTTGATTTTCGTTTATCACAAATATTTTGTATTTTGGTTTACCCGTCAATATGACCAGGAATGAAAATATTATAAACTAGTAGTTTGACATATTGTTAATAAACTAGTAACGAAACAAACATAAATAATATATTACGTAACAAGAGTTGTAAATAACCCATTACGCACGAAGTGAAAAAGTATGCGCACGAAAGCCGCGCAGCGGCGAGTGCGTAATGGGCTTACAACTCGTGTACTTATTTTTCTATGCCCACATATTTTCTCCTATTAAATATAAAGGACATATGTTTGTGTCGTCAATCCATAAATTTTCGATAGATAATATACCTTTTTTTGGATTTTAGCGGTAACAAATTATGTGTGAGACAGTTTGAGCTTTTTCTAAGATCTCCGGTGGAGTGCTCATAACTAACAGATATATTCGTAGGTAAAGTTGAGAAAATGTTCGAATAAATAGTTATTTTCCTAACAAGTGCGGAAAGTGTTACTTTCCCGCACGCGAAGCGGAGTTCGGGCAAGCGGTCAAGTGCGGGAAAGACACTTTACGCATGAGTTAGGAACATTATTTTTTCTACGACCGTATATACAAAAAAGTAGAAAAAATTATTTTTGGAAAATTATTTTATTTCAACATATACAAATCTTTAAATAAAAACAACTAATTATTATGGATATTAATGTTAAATACACAATTTGTAGCATTTTGTAAATTATGTAAAATTGCCGGTACAGAGGAATTAGTTGGTGTTAATTGGCTGTTAATAGTCGTAACGATCGTAGATTGAAAAGATGACGTGGACGGGAGTGACATCGGTTGCAGGTCGTATTGTTTTTCATATCTTCCTCGTGATTTGGCAGGTAACACCTCCAAATGTGCTTCATTTGCAGCTTTTAAAATGGCTTCGGGCAGCTCTTCATCCGATGAATCCATTATTTCTTTAATTTATTTTAATTCAGTTGACGCTTCAACAAACAACTTTGACGTTTTTGTAACAATAACACGCCTTGGTTACCATATAGCAACCATATCAAGCCATACATGTCACAGCCTAGTCTGACTTTTAAAAATATACAGAAGGTATATAAAAATATCTCTATTATTCAAGTTTTCCAAAAAATTAAAATTATAACAAAAAGAAAGAAAAAAAGTAAATTTCATTAAATGGAATAGTTGGAAAATACTAAATTTTCTATTGTAACAATAGTTATAACATCCGAGGTAAAAAAACTATACAATAGGTAAGGCCAAATATTCATAATTTTACTTTCCCGCACTATTGCGGGAAAGTGATTTTTTCCCGCACTAGTGCGGGAAAGTGACACTTTCAAAACTAAAATGCGTGCGGGAAAGTGGGTAAAAATACACGGTCGTAGAAAAATAATATTTTGTTACAAAAATTGACATATAAATGACAAGACGTTTATTTTCATAGCATGCTAAGAAAACGCGAATTATTTTTTGAAAAATTGTATAATGTGTTGCCGACATTTAATCCAAAATATATCTCGCTAATTCTAAAAGTTTTTACGTCTTTCAATTGACTAAATTTATATAAATAGACCAGATAAAAATTTGATTTCAATTTGATTAAAATAAAAAATTTAAGTTTTCTTAACAAAACGCACGTGTATGTTATGAGATCTCATTACGTGCATGTTATTGTTAAATGTCATTTACAAGGAATGTTGACAGTGCGATTTTTAACGTTTACTGACATGGGCGTAGAAAAACTCTTTTACTTCAGTGCCACAACTATCATTTGCATAGGTTCAATGCAGTTCCCCATTTTAATATTATGCCGCTGAATATTGTTTTTTAGCCGGTTATGAAGCTCATCAAAGGATGCAATGGCCATCCGAAGGTAATTAAAAATTGTATTTTCGTCTGCACGTAAAGCTTCCATTAAGCAAATGAATGGGCCCACTTTATCTCTTTTCTGATTAATTGGGTGCACACCAGTATATACGATTATGTCGTTTCCGATACTTTTGTATATGACGGTACAAAATAAGCCACATGGCAATGGTGCGCTTTCGATTCATGTCGATAACAAACTGTTTTAGACATGATCTAGTTTATTCATCCATTGACACCCCACACGACGCTTAATTAAATAAACATGGATTTTCAAGTCTCGCTATAAGGCGAAAATATTTTTCTGTAGTTATGCTGTATAAGGGCATAAGCAATCAAATAAACTGCGAATGTCTAGTACATATGCTTAATTTAAAAGTTCCACGTCAACACTCAAGATACACTGACTCATTTTACTTACCAACACCTCGTACTAATATTTTAAAGAACTCACCGTTGTATAACATGTGTAATAATTATAATCAGATTAGTCAGGAATTGGATATATTCCACATTAGTATTCAGGATATCAAAAGGCATTATTTAGGATAACCATCATTGTACTTCATTTCCTGTAATATTTTCCTTTTTGTATGTTTCGTCTAAAAATTCGTACGAATTTTCTCTGTACGAACAAAACCATTGTGTCTGAAAGAGCCAGCCCTATGAATATTTCCATTTAAATAGCACGTCACAATATTGCATCGTGCCTTAAGTGGAGCGTGACCTGAACTACAGTAAGAATCAGCCTTCTAACTGAGCTATCGAGACATATCAAGTGAGTTATTTAATCAAGTACTTATGTTGTAAATTTTTTACAACTTTGAGTCGTCAGTTTGCAGATGTTTTAAACTAAAATCGATCTTCCATGTTTGTCAGCATTTTGTTAGGTTATGTGTTTGTTTATTTATTTATATTTCTCCCCATTTTGATTTAAAAAATGAAAATTTGTTATGAAACCATAAACTATAAGGTAGTAATTGTTAATTAATTGCCTATAATTAAAGGAAATCAAATGAAGTTTAAAATTTGAGGTTAAGAAAACAAAGCTAAACAAAACGATCATTCAGCGCCAGCTTAACAGTTCATGAAACGTGATTCTTTGATTCTTAAAACATGTTTAAAGACGATGAACACAGATGATTGAAACTCAGGATATCATCCAACTATACTTTTTCTTTAAGTTAACGTTTCTTCAGGGCTTTAGAGATCCGTAAATATTTAAAGATGCTTCGTGAATTAGGCTACTAGTTTCGTGTTTTTCATGTATTGTGTGATATTTTTGTCAATCAGACAAATAGTTATTATGCGATTACTTTTTCCACTGTAGAAATATGCAGAAAAAACGTCAACTGTCAAAAATCCGACCCCTCTGTCAGTAAAAGGGCCAATCCAAGCTATTGCTCTGTACTAGATTTATTAGTGATGGCAAATGACTTTGAATATTAAAACCGAGGGTAACATTAAAAAGAAATTGGTTATAAACTTTTCAAACAATTTTTAAATAAACTAAAAATATGTTAGTCCAAAAAAATAGTTACTAAAATTTAAATTTTCGAGCTTATTGTGAAAATGTATAGTAAAATCCTTATATTTTTGTGGAAGATCGATATATTTGCTGCTTTCAAAAATTACCGAGGAAAAGCGGTTGTGTCGTTCTTCTGTACTAAAAAGTGGGAAGTTTATGTTGAAGAAGAATGACACAAATCTAGTTATGCTTCGACAGTCAATGAGACAACATCACCCATTTTTGGCTAGAGTAACATAGATCAAAACATATGCAAATTATATTAAAAATAAACCAAGAAAATAATTTTCAACAGTGACACAAGTCAAATTAAGACATTATTGTTGAAAAGGTCATTATCAAGATGGGAAATATATTTTTCTGAAAGATCGTCATAACTCAAAAGAGGGATGAAAATGTGTATATTTTATTAAATTTTATCAAAACAGTTTGTTGTTTGAACACTAATGTTTATTAAAAAAAAGATTTAAACATTTTTAAAATGCAAGATCGGGAAACAAAAAACTTTAAAACGGATGTCCTCGAAAATCTGTTTTTGAGTTGTGACACTATTCTTGTGTACCAACAATTTCAGGCAGAATGGTTCGTTTTTGTTAAAGTCGACTGTCATTGAAACACAAATTACGTCAAACTATTGTATTGTTCCTTATATGGGGTGTTCGGGAGTAAGATGAAAGAAGCATTCATCAGTACAGAACTTTTACCAGATTGAATATTAAAAATGTGATAGCGCGCGATGGTCGCCAAACTCTGTTAGAAGGCAATTCATTCAAGAAATCAAATATTCAAAAAATGTGGGCAATGTTTAGTATATTTTTCTACAATAATTGCTTACCGGCATTCTCGGAGTTATCAATCCGTCTTCGTAAAATTGGAAACATTTGTAAGATCAACTTTAAGAATAGAGTAAATAAAAAAGTTTAATGGATAACAGTTATATACAAATTTATTCTTATCCTTGCAATTCAGTACATTTCATGTATAAAATAACTTATTAAAAGTTTTAATTACTTTTTTAATAATTCTCATTCAAATACTCATCTGTCATGATTTTTTTTACAGTGAGCAGTTTAAATTAAACATAACACAATTTTTGCTGGTTCAGAAGAATAAACTTCTCGATTTCAAAGCCTTCGGTGAGTTTGCGCCTGTTATCCTTAACCACGATTTGGAAGGCGTACTCGTTCTGGGCGAATCGATATTGAAGGAGGAATTCAGGGACGAATTCTGAAGGTCGGGTTCAGTTCTTTGGTGGTCTTTCATAGCCCAACTGAAAATGTTTTATATTGGTCAATTGAACCGAACTATGGTAACCAGACTCACCTTTCCCTCTCTTCCTTTGAATACAAACTAATTGTGTGATACCATCTATAAACATTTGGATACTGTATATGATCTAATTTGACTTCGGAATAGCATATAGCATTAAATACATCACAGTCTGATTTTGTAGGAGCATCCCTACAACAAAATATATTGTTTATGAAAGGAAAAACAAAATAAACTTTTAATTTGAGATATTCAATTTAATAATACAATAAATTCCCAAGAATTGTTTATTATACAGTGTGCAACAGTCATATAGAATACATTTAGTAGCTCAGTTACTGTGCACATTTATAAAAAAATCTCGAAACAGGTCAAATTTAGATTATAAAATAACATTTTGCAACGTGAAAATTTCACCCATATACCTTCAATCCCCTTCGAGTGACAGATGCAACCCCCAAATTTGTGAATAGGAAGTAGGCGCTTGTGATACCTCATTTGAACGGCCTCGTCATTATCTATTCAAAAATGCTGATTTTCAAAATTATAGTAAAAATTAACAGTAAAAAAATGTATTAATCTGATCGACGAAATACGATACAAACAATTAATAACTAATAGAGTTTCGTTCTTGATAACGAGAAATCAAGCAGAAACAATTTCAACTGCCTTTTTCGTCGGTATTAACATTAATTATCAACATTCTTCATAGTTGGCATCACGGGGGTTTATATCATATGCAAAATATGCCAACCCGTTTACTACCCAGACCACCCGGCGCTTGGGTGCTCTGAAGTCCGTTTTACAATAACCAAATTGTATTAAAATGTAAAGCACACTGAATAATTTAATAACATCTCGCTCAGTAACACAAAAAAGTATTATTTCAACAAATTTAATTTATATATTAAACCAAATTAAAAAATCATGCCTTCACTTAGTTATTTGTACAATGTTAACCTGTCTTTATGTCCGCTACATGCCTGCTGGCTCCCCCATGTGCCCGCTGACACGGTGACGCGCGCGCTGTCAACAAACAGTAAACAAAAAAGCAATATGGTTATGGTTGCCGATGAAAACATGTGAATGAAAGTATTTTTATTTATTTTAGTTTTAGATATAACTTATTTAAAATTAAGTAAAGGTATTTTGATGCTTTAACGAGTCTTTACCATTAAAAATTCATTATAAATACATCATTTCCAAATCAAAGAAAGAAATGGTGCCACATTTTAAACATTCCACGTGAAACCAATCATGAATTATGAGATAATTTTGATACGAAATCGATAACAAACACAAATCGTTCAAGACTAAGATTTGGTTTGCCTTTAGCGCCCTCAAAACCTTTTTTTTACTTTAGAAAACTTTTATTTACATTAAAGAAATATATTTACATGTCAAATAATAAATAAAATATATCACACTACCTCCCTTAGGGCCAGGGAGGTGTAACCCTCCATTAAATTTATTTTTGACTCAATTTACTGTCAAATATAGCAGCCCTTACTCCTTACCTGAACGGTATTATTAAGGGATTTTATTGGATTTTGGGATCATGAATGGGAATTTATTTGAGGATTTGTCGTGTCTTTGTTCTGGTTTTTGTCCCCTGAAAAAGCTAGAAAAAACAGGGTTGTCCTTGTATGTACGTGGGTCTCTTGTATAGTCTATGTTTTAAATTACAGCCCCCAGGCTTGGTGATCGATGAAACTACCCCCAGAGCATAAACTGCGAGTGTATATGGCTCGCTGAATTTGCTCTGTGGGTCGTTTCATTGTTCGGTCTGCCGTCCGACTAGTTCGTGTAAATATCTAGTCTTGGAGTGCTGTTATTTAGTATTTCTGTCGATGTTGGGAAGGAAGGATGGTCAGTTTACCTTTGGACTTGCCAAAGGAAGTTTCGACGAATTTTGTACCGCTCCTCGTAGTTCCAAATCGTGTCACCAGGTTATTAACCTAAAAGCCAACTAATTTTTCTAAGATAATCGCTCGAGTAAGCCAGGAAGTATCAAAAACCCCGTAAAAAGGGAACCACACCCTTATGGGAAAGCCCTCCGGGGCAATCACACCACAACTAAAAGAATACCCCACAGTATATTCTCAAAGACAGCGAAACAGATGGAAACAAACCGCAGAGCTTAGGAATATTGCCAAAATCCAAACTCCAGACAACATTAAAGCTAAATCTAGACTTAAATCAAGTATAAACGTGAGTAAAAACACAATTTGGGCTCTAACATCAAATAAAACTAACCCAGGGGTCAATTACCCGAAACAGGGTGAACCCCTGGCCAAAATTTCGCCGGTTCGACCTACAAATGACCCTCAAACACTTCTTGAAGAAGTATACGGAAATCTAGACGAATCCTCCAGCTCAAATGAGAGCATGGATACAACCATTAAACCGGCCACGGCAGAATGCCCCCAGGACCCACACAACCTCATAGAACAAACAGACCCCAAAATAATAATCCTATCTAATGATAAAGTCGATGAAAGCAGCAAAAATGCAAATTACCTATCCGAAAGTTCGGAAAACTCCCACAAAAGTTTGGAGAATCTGCACAAAATCAAAGACAACATTCACAAAAGTCTAGAAAACATAGAACATAAAGAAACACCCCATCCTAATTTGAATCGCACAGCCAGCGATGATAAATCAGAGGAATACATGGATGCGGACGACAAAGCACTCTCCCCCCCCCCCCCACAGAAGGAGGGGAAGGAAAACATGAAGGGGATGAACACCCTGAGACAAATCCGGAAAACCCCCCCCCAGGTCACAAATACGACGGAAACAGATAATAACGATACTTTCCTATCGGGATATGTGTCAGAACAAAGCCATCCCACAAAAGTAGTTATCAAAAGACTAAACCTACCCACAGGCACACAAGCTAGACCCCTTAATTTTGGTTTTGGGACTGATTTATCATCAGCCAACTACAAAAACACAAATACAGGAGCCACTCCAAAAATAAAAATAGCGGATAAAAAAAGTATGGAGAAAGTACAAAAGCGTGGTGAACTGAGTAGCCACAAATTTGACTTTCACCCATACAATACTGGGCAAACAATGACACAAACACCAAATCCCTGTCCAAACAAAGATTTTTACACACAACTACCCTCGAATAAGGACGTGCAAATACATGTGAAAACGACAGACATCCCTACAGAAGTACAAAACTCAATTCTGGGCTATAAATCGAGCGACATAACGTCAGAGGACGACAAATCACATGAATATCTCCCTACATCCCCAAACAGCACGTTTATCAGACCTGTAAGAAAAACAAAGGAAACAAAAATGGACACCCAAGAAGTGGAAGGAGGGTTACCGTTCCAGACTCCAAGAAAATTTAGCTCAAACTTTCAAAGTCTCATAAAAGAGAAAACTAAAAAATCTCTAACAGCCACCAGAAACAGATTCCTCCCACTCACCGATAACTCGGACTCAGAATATGACGATGATGAGATAGGCAAGATCGTTAAGAGAAAGAGATCAGAAAGAAACGAAACTAAAGATAAACAAAGCGAGGAAACCATCGAAGACATACTGGCGAATCAACAAAGCACATCACAACAAAACAAAGTACAAACAAACACACAAAAGCGAGTGAAAAACACCCCTGTGAAAAAATACACAATGCCACCGATTGTAGTAGATGGACAAACAAAAAATCAAAACACCCTAATACAGGATCTAAGGGCCACTGTTAGAGGAAATTTCAGCGTGAAACATACTACAAACTCGACCATATTGTTTGTAGATGAGAAAGAAGATCATCATAAAGTATTAAAAAACATTCAGGATGAAAAAATCGCGTATCACACATACACGACAAAAGAAGACAAATCTCACGCGTTTGTTCTCAGGGGATTAGCCATGGGTACAAAAATACCCGATATTGAGGAGGACCTGGACTCCCAGTACGAAATCAAAACAAGAAATGTATTTTTAATGAACACCAAAAATCGTCCACTGTTCTTGGTCGTAACAGACCCGTCGTTGACACTGGATTATCTCAACACAAATGTAAGAATTATCCTACACACGAGAATAACTTGGGAACTACGTAAGAGTATGAAACAGATAATCCAGTGTCACAATTGCCAAAAATGGGGACACGCAACGACAAACTGCGGTAGACCACCGCGCTGCCTAAAATGCGCAGGGGAACATTTAACGAGAACCTGTATGAAATCGAGAGAAACCGCAGCCAAATGCGCTAACTGTGACGGTGAGCACCCGGCGAACTACAGTAAGTGCCAGGCTTACCTTGAAAGACTGGAAAGACTAGAGGATAGGAGAAACATATCAAAACCCACTAAGTACATACAAGCACCAGCCCCGAAAATAAATGCTTGGGAAGCCAAAAAAAGACAGGTGCCAGGAAGAGAAGAATTCCCGGAGCTGCGAAGCAGAGGCCAATACAACTCAAACGCGCAAACAAACCCCTCCCAATCAACATTAAACCCCTCCCAAACAACATTACGGCCAAATCCCCCTCCTAGACCCAATCCCACTAACCCAAATGGCAACCCTGATGATTTCCAGGCATTGAACGCTGAGCTTACAGAACTTAACAGGTTGGTAAATTTATCAGAGTTAACTAGAGCAATTAGAGATTTGAATATCAAATTACGTGCATGTCTCACCAATTTAGACATATATATAACCTACCAAGCTTTCTATGACAACATAAACAACTATAATTTCAGGAACTGAACTTGGTGAGACATGTACTGACAAATACAAGATTTGTTTCTATAATGAGAACGGGTTGCATAACAAGAAAAACCTTGTTAGCAATTTTGTTCACAATCATAAATTCGACATAATATTTATTTCAGAAACGAGACTTAGGGATAACGAAACATTTAGAATTAATGGATACACTGTAATTAAACAACAAAGACAAGATAACTCGGGACATGGGGGGGTTGCTTTCTTTATAAATAAAAAGATCCAATTTAAACAACTAAAAAATGTAAATACATCACTTGAAAGCCTTATAATATAATACAAGTTGGTAACATCGTATTTGTGGGGGTATATAACAGCCCGGAAAATAAGTTTACTACATTAGAATTAAATAATCTGATTTCGACAGGACAGAGGGTCGTCTTAATGGGAGATCTAAACAGCAAGCACCCGGAATGGGATGCAAACTGCATCAAACATAA